CCAGGTCTTCTTCAGGTCACGAAAGAGTATGCCACGGAGGCCGGGGACCCTGGACAGGGTCTGTCACCGCATCACTGGAGAGTCTGGTGGCTCTTTAGAGACAGATTGAACGACGTGTGTTTGGGAGGGATCCTAGTTGGAACACCTGCCATGTGGAGTTGAGCTGCTTTCAGTAGACGGACAGGCAGCAGTGGGTGTGATGGAGGACAGTGGCCTGGGGAGGCCTTTGGATTCCTTTGTTGGGGATGCTCTTCGTGGGAATTGGCTTCCTTCACCTCTATGTGGCCTTGGTAGAGAGGGTATCCCCTCCGTCACATCTGGCTGTTACCACATATGGCACAGATGGCATGTGTTTTGAGAGGTGCAGAAGCACCCCTGGCAGAGCTTGGTGTTGCCTCGTGGTGGGACAGGGTGGCGATGCTCTTGGACCATGGTTGTGGGTAATGGGAGGCACTCCATGCTGGACTTGGAGGCAGGTGGGACTGAAGACACCTTTATTAACTAAATGGAAATGTCCTGGCTCGGAATGGATGAAGTGATGGGAGGCCTGCGTGTCCTCTCTTGGTGGGATGGACGTTCCTGAAGACTTCGAGTTTGGTAGGTCTTCTGTCACTCTTGGGATTTTTGCTTTGCCCTCGGAAGGAAGTTCCCCAGGCTCCAAGGAAGGCTCCCGCACAAGGAACTAGTGATGGGACAGACTTTTATTACATCCTCTGTGTCTTCCTGATTGAGTCACTTGGTGGTTTTTAGAGGTGAGTGTCATCCAGGGTCCTGATGCCTGCTGCTCTCTGGCCCGTGGCTCTGGGCAGCCATTGGAAACTCAGTTTCCTTGTCCGTCACAGTCTGAGAGGGGATGTTGAGATCAAGTTCCCTCTACCCTGAACCTTCGGATTCCCATGTCTCTGCGTGTAATTAAAATACAAGAGCAGCCGTGACGTGGGTGACAGCCAGCATGATGTCACCTGTCCCAAGAGGATAGCGCCCAGCCTGGAACAAGAGTCTAGTGCTTTGGCTTGGCTCCTGCTGCCTGGCGACCTTGCAGCTTCCCTGCTTTTGGAGCTCAGTTTCTCCTTCCCTGCAACTTGGACCACTGTGTGCTCTGAGGAAAAGAAGCAGCAGCATGTTTGCATGTGCTTTCCCGGAGCCATGTGAATCCTTGTTCCCTCCCTGCCCGGCCCCTGGTCTGGCCGCTTTGGGCGTGCTGGGTAGACTGGGTCAGCTCCTCCACCTGTGCCCTGGCTTCCCCAGCAGAAAGATGGGGGTCCTTCTCTCCTCTTTGGGGGACTTGAGGGTGTTGGGACTGGCATTCTGGGCCAGCACAGAGATGCATGATGGGAGGGGGATGGGCAGTCTAGCCTTTCGTGGTGGAGTGGACAGATGTGCAGCCAGGGAAAGCAGAGCAAGGCTACGTGTCTGTGTCCCTGAGACGCGAGCTCCAGAGCATGGGCTGTGGCTGGGGTTGGTGGTTTGGGAGACAGGAGAGGGGGCTGTTATGTTGTCTTGCTTGGAGGTGGTGCCAAGCCAGCCGGGGGAAACAGCAGCAGAAACAGGAAAGGGGATGAGGCCAGCTGGAGCCAGGGCCCCGAAGCAGTCAGGAGGGCCGAGTGGACTCCATTTTGGAGGTGCTGGGTCCCAGGGGTTGGGGGTGAGCAAAGGGCAGAGCAACCCCAGGGAGACGTTGGCCTGTGCCCTGTTGGTTCCCAGGCTCTCGCCGAGCATCTGCTGTGTGGGGCCTGGTGCTGGGCTCGGCTCAGGGAAGTGAGACGCTGCTCTTGCTTTCACAGAGCTTTCTGCTGGGGCTCCTGCTCTAGTGCACTGCTTCCCTCTGGTTTCTCGGATGCCGGCTTTGCGGGATGCAGACTCTCACTGACCCCACTCTGTGGCCTCAGAAATGCAGTCACAGGCAGAGCGGTGACTTCGGCTCTCCACTCTCTGCTGGGCTCACACCTGCGCCCACCTAGCCCTGTTCACAGTCGTCTTCTCTTCCCTTCCTTGCTTTCCTACCTCTTCTGTTCTCCTCGCTTGCTTCTGTCTTCCCCCTTCTGTCATTATCTGCATTTTTCCCGTGTCGCCTTCCAGTTCTGCAGGTCTCTGATCCTGCTTCCTGTTTTCTCCTACTTGAGACACAGCCCTTGAAGGAGCCTGAGATGGAGTGGTGATGCCTCTTCCTCATCTGAAATTTCAGGGAGATACCAGGTCCATGCTCTCCTTCCCCCTTGAAGTTTTGTAATTTTACTTTACTTTTGGAAAGCATTCAAGGTCTGGAATAACAGGCACCAAACATAAGAAATGGTTACCTGAGGGTGATTTGCTTTCTTTTTTGAACATTCATTTTGCTTCATTTTCCTCTACTGAGGACGTGTCATTTTTTGAGACATCAATGGGAGAGGCTGAGTGTCTCTGCAGCTGACCTCTGGCTAGAGGAGAGAGGCTTGCTGCTCTGAGGACAGTTGGCTGCCTCATGTGCCTCAGCAGAGCCGCTTCTACTGTTGGGCCTTCTTTCCCATCTGCCAGTTTGGTTTATCCTTCACTCTACCCCAGGGTCCCTTTCAACTCAGAGATGTTTCCATTCTGTTTCCCTTCACTGTTCATAATCGTCTTGGATCACCAGTGCTGATCTAATGAAATCTCACAGAGCTAGCAGGATGTCTGCATTGTAGAATTTTCAGAAATGTACATGTGCTACTTTCATGCAAGTGTGGGCCAGCAGAGGTAAACCTGAGCTGTGACTGTTAGCACGTTGTCATTATTTTGGAAAAAGAGAGTTTAGTGAGGGTTTTGTCAGATGTTGCAAATGATTCTGACATCCTTTGTTGTGGGTGATGCAGAAGTAGACACACAACCTTTCCTCAGACGAGTACACATGAGGAATTATGGACTCCAAGTCAACCAGAATGTCTTGTATTTAAAAGTGGAGTTTTAAATGGCATTAGTAACCTGGTCTTCATTTTACAACAAAACATCTCTGACCTTCTGAAAATGGAATGAAACCGATTATCCCTGCAGATGTGCTCTAAAGTTGCCACATCTGTTGAAAACATCTTGGGACATGCAAGGCTCATTAATTAGGTCACAGTTTGGTTTGGTTTGGTTTGGTTTGGTTTGGTTTGGTGAAGAATGGTTGAAGTCAAGTCATATGCTGCGTGCATCCTTAGTTCACTCTGGAGCACACAGATACCTGAGTTATACTTCTCTTGTGCCTGAAAGATGGAAGGGAGCAGCCGGAAAGTAGGCGGGGGTGTGAAATGCTTTAAACTTGATTATGTCTTATTCTGCAACAGTATATTTAGGACTATGAATGTTGAACATTCAAGTACAGTGCTGGCAAACATTCACATTTCTGCAGTGATGGAATGTCCTGTGCTGTCTGCCACAGTGGCCACTAGCCACACGTGGACACTGATGACTAGAAATGTGGCTGGTGTGACTGAGGAGTTAGGGGTATTGTTTTCTTTAATTTTTGTTAATATTTAAATTAAATTGCCTCTCGTGATTAGTGACTGTCTAATTGGGCAACCTGACTGCGATAGACAGTGATTTCTGTCACCTGATTATGCTGCCTTCTGCACTTCGCCCATAGCTGACCAGATACACCTTTCCACACAGGAGAATCAGATCCATTCTGTGTCACCGAATAATTTTCCCTATGTGTGTGAAAAGATGTTTTGCTTTCTGATAGCTAACCGATAGCACACACTCCTTGTGTTGATGTAATGACACAGATCTACGGCGTACGCTTTGAAAGGCACTACAAAGTGTAAAGGTGGAGAGTGACTCACCCTCATCCCTGCTCCCCAGGCAGCCCCTGTACCAACATCGCATGTTTTTCCAGGTATTCTCTTTGTAGGCATGTGTGTATTAATGGATCTTTAATTTTTAACTTCTTTTCTTTCCTTTCTGTGATTTTCTCTGAAACTCTTTGTCTTTCATCTCCTTTGGAGACAGAGTCCTGTCGAGAGGTGAGGGGAACGTGGCCCCGAGCCCCCAGTCTGCATGTGGCTGCCCAGGCAGGGCCCTGCAGAGTGACCAGGAAGTGGATCTCGACGGAGAAGCTCATGATTATCTCATCAGGAAAGCCTTCTAACGAGAATCTGCATTGGTTTAGCTTTTGCTTTTTAAAGTGCTTTTATTTTTATGAACTTATTTTTACCCTCGTTGTTCAGAGTTTAAAGATTTTTCACCATTTGATGGTCGCGCAGTTCCATGAGGAGAGAATGCCAGTTATCACAAGGATGCGCTGGGAGTTCCCGTTCCCTCTGAGGGGACAGAATTGAGATGGGTGGGAGGATTGGGTTAGGTTGTAAAATTTTTACCTGTGACCTTTAACTTTGGTTTACTGCCTGTGTTCTCTAGGAGTGCAGAGTTCTTGGTCCGGGGCCCGGCATTGAAGCCCCTGTGTTGTGCTCTTTGTACCTTTCCCTCTCAGCAGGGTTTTCAAGGACTCATCTCAGGACTGAGAACTGGTGCTTTAAAAGCATTTGCAAGGTTGTTGGGTTGTCCTCAGAATAACAGATTTTCTGAGTAGAAATTGACCGAGAAAAAGACTTTGGTCTTTGTAAAGATTCTTGGGTGTCATGTGGTCCATGTTTTGAAATATCAGTCGTGTCTCTAAGGAGGTAGTGTCTTAGGCACATTCAAATGTTTTCTTGAGTTTGACTTTCAGTTTGTTTATTTGAAAAGATAATCACTTTACCCAAAACCTCTCTTGAGAAGGAGAGACACTGTGAGACGTGTGCCTGCGGAGGGGACCTGTCTTGGTGCTCTCAGTGGTTGCACATTGATGCTTTTTCTCCTTTCTCTTACTGGTAAAACTTCTGAAAGAGTCCCGAGGTCCAGTCAGGATATTGTGCCCTGGTTTGTGGTTGGTCCCAGGTGCTGTCCTGCTGGAGAACTGGCGGTGGAGGAGCTGGGATAGGGCCTCGGGCAAGACCTGGTTGGGGGGCCTCCTGAGCCTTTCCAGCTTCCCGGGACACATCACTGTCTGCTTCTTTCTCTCAAAGGAGCTGACAGTGGCGGATCATCATCCGGAAGTGGGTCTGGGGTTGCCCCCGCCGCCCCTGCAGGAGGCTCCCGCTCCTCCTCCCGGAACTTGGGGTCTTCAGGTGGTGAGAAGGAGGAAGGCAAGAAGGTGCGGCGGCAGTGGGAGTCGTGGAGCACAGAGGACAAGAACACCTTCTTTGAGGGTCTGTACGAGGTGAGTGGCCTCTCCCCTCGTCTGTATCTCCCTTTTAGGATCCCTTCGTGTTTCTCACCACGTGGCCATTGGAGCCACTAGATCACTGCTCCGGTGGGAGCCCCCCATGGCCATTCAGGCGTGGGTCCCCAAGGCCTGCACCCTGCCCTCTGAGCTTGGCCCTTCATCTTCTCACTGGGACAGTTCAGCCCCTCACTAGGGAAGCGGCTGTTAGGAAGTGTCTTCCTTTGTTTCTTTTCTTTCTTTTCTAAGAGTCTCTCAGATACCTTCTTGACTGAAAAGTGGTGCATGGAGTAGGGGACAAGGGTGCACTTGCCACCTCAGAGCAGCCGGTGCAACCCTGACCTGGGACAGTGGACGTCCTGAAAATAGACAGGCTCCCCCTCCGCGCCCCCCCACCCCAGCCCAGCCCACTGCTGTGCTCCCTGCCGGCCACTAGAGTCTGGGTTTGCAGTTAGACTGAACATGCTTTCTTATTAACATCAGATGCATTTTCGTGATGTTTCATGGTTCTTCTGCTCAGTATTTCTTTAACGCCTATAAATATCCTGCTTCAGGTATAGGCAACCGTGGCCCCTGTGCTCATGGCCTGTTTGTGGAAATAAAGTTTTATCAGAACACAGCCATGCCTGTTCCCTTGCACGTTGTCTTTGACTGCGGTGTGGCTCCTGTAGTGTCTGTGGCCCACAACATCTGCACATTCACCCCAGCCCGTCTTTGCTCTCTTTAACCATCCTGGTCCCAACCAGATTCTGTAATAAATGATGCTGCAGTGGGCACCTTAGTGCACACTCCGTACTTGAGACTTCTTTGGGATATGGTGTCAAGAGTAGGTTACTCAGTCAACGAGCCTTGTTCTTTTAATAGTGAAATAATTAGGGTGGTGGAAGAGTCTAGCAAAACAAGGCTCACAAAGGAAGGGGGCTTTGGAACTGAAACCATGAAGTGTTCACAGAGAGATCGGAAAAGGAGAAGCCTAAGTGTGGGCAGAGAGCAGATCACAGAACTGTGTGCAGAGTGTGCCCGTGGCTGGCTCCCTTCTGGGGTCGATGATTAGGTTCTGCCCATCCTGGTGGAAGGAGGCCCACGTGTCAGTACTGTGGACTCAGGTGTCCCGGGAGAGAGTGACATGTTCACATGAACCTTGTTGCTGTAGATGCGAGATCATTCAAACACATTCATGGGTGTTCTTTTTCTTTCCTCGACAGTTTTGGGGTAAAACATGAAGCTGTTTTTGTACAGATTATATTCCCAAATATGCCCTCTGTAAGCTGTTTGTTAGGCATAGGAGACTTGTGGTTCCTGGTGTGAACCGTTGCTGATTTTTACCTGAAGCCATTACTGCTTTGGTGGGAAGAAAGTGGGCTCTGTGGGTGTTGGGCTTCTCAGAAGCAGAAAGCAGAGGGGAGATGTGGTTTCCATTAATAGCAGGGGAGGAATTTCCTGCTAATGACCTGACCTTACCTTTCTTCAGGGGAATCAGTTTATTCCCTTCTCCTTGGGCTAGCCCTCTTGTTCTAATTTTTCCACCAGGTAGGTATTTTGAGTGCTCCTGAAATCCTTATTAATAATAACTAGTAATTGGCTATTCTGGTTACTTAATGCTTTTCACCATTGATACTGTTGGTGTATCCCAAATAGTGTGTGTATGTGTGGTGGGGGGGAGTGGAGAGAGAAGGAAAGAGCACACCAGCAAGTGTGCACACACAAGTGCAGGCTGTACATCTGTCATCTTGTGTGTCTGACTAGAACTCATTGGGACTCTAAGGGGGGTCTTGATGCCCTTGAACATCTTGAGGTGTGGGGTCAGGTGGCTCAGCACAGGCCTGTGCAGTTTTTATCCAGGTCATCCCTGCCTTTCTGATGCACACGTGTGGGACTGAGCTTTGCTTCCAGTGACGAGACCCAGCAGCAGCGCAAGGGGAAGAGGGCAACTCTCATAACTGGACTGGGAGGGTCAGGCTCAAGCCCTTCAGCGTGCAGGGACTCCTGAGTGTTGGGGGTGACAGTTCTGCTGCTTCTCTCCTGCTTCAGATGCTCCCCAGAGGTGACAGTGTCTCCCTACCCCTACCTTCGCTCCAGTTAGGACAGTTCTGGGGAAAACTCAGCTTGGCTGGGCCCATCCTGGACTCCTCCTTGTGGCCAGGGCAAGAGTTGTGGCCTCCATGACGGGAGCTGGCAAAAAAAGCAGTGGGCTGGACACCTGGACCAACCTTGTCCTGAAACCCTCCATGCTCCATTCCACAAAGCCTGGTGCTGACTTTTGCTTTCCATTATCATGTCAGTCTGTCGGTATTTGCTTTTGCGGTACATTTCTTGATTCCTACCTTACAGCCGCTTGGCCAGCACCTACTCCTTGCTTTTCACAGGGTAATCATTGCTGGAGGCCTTACCTCTCCTGTGCTTTGCGGTGCTCCCCTCCTGATTTCCTGTCTGCACCTCCTGGTGTCCTGCAAACCCAGCTGCGGGCACCTCCTGCCTCCTGCCATCTCTGACCGCTGTATGATACCGCAGGTTTTCACTTCAGTCTTTGAAATGTGTACTTTGTCTCTACATAGTTATTTTCAACATTGTTTTCCTCACTGTTTATTTGTCTATTT